CGCACGTTCAGACCCAGATTTTCAGCTGGCAGTCCAGTCTTTAAACACTTTAACAACAGCTGCTCTGTAACATTTGACAAATTCTGCTGTTTTTCTGATACTTGCTCCATGGCTCCGAGCGCCAACAATCACCCCACGTTCAAAGGCTGTTAAATCGCGTTGTGTACCCATATCTTCAGAAAAAAATCACTTCTACTGTCGTGGTAAACAACCTGCTTCCCTATTTATAATGGTCCGGCCCTCTAGCAACTTCAGCGTGAAATTATAGCTAATTATAGCTAATTTGACTACAAACGTCAGGTGGTCATAATAATCTGGCCACTCAGTGTATATCCTACTAGACATGTTCGATTCGTTTCGTTGCAAATCGAAATTCGGACAAAATTTCGGAAATTCGGAGATTTGGATGTATCCGAATTCCGAATTACAGAACAAATACAAACGAATCCGAATTTCCGATTCGCGCTGAAATCTGCCCCTACGTGCGAAAAAGAAGCTCAAAGAAGCTTTTTCGCGCCTAGGACGTTTTTCATCTCGACAAAACGGGCTGAAATACGCCCAGGTGGGAACCATGCCCATAGGGATTAACAGGATTTCACTTCTTGAGCGTTTTTCAGCTCTTAGATCAGCTCTGAAAAGTGCCCAGGTGTGAACCCAGCCTTAAGGTACTTGAATGCTTTTTTATGATTTATCTCCTAAGCTTAGTGTCGCTTTAAGTTCTGTTTCAATGACAACACTAAAACTGTGGATTTCCATCACTTTCTGTCTCAGTAATAATGGACACCAGGATAAATAGAAAGTGTGAAGCTACTCAGCGGGGACTCGGCAGAAATCTGTCCTTATTTATTTTCCAATTTATATACCGTTCTTTACCTCTTAAGCAGACAATATAACAAATTTAAAGAACAATTCCACATATTCAAAAAATTTGGACACACATCTGGAAACACCTGTGTGATACAAAACTCCTGTAAGAGATATTGCTATTGCAGGATTAACAGCTTGTAACTTGTTGCTATGCTCATTTTTTCCACGGCATAGAATTTGAAAGATAAACCACCACATCTACCAGACCATATGTTTTTAGTATAGTTGTTCCTTTCCCCATTTTATTCCCTATGCACTGCTGTTTTTGTTTCAGTTATTCAGTTTGGCTCAACAGACACATTTCACCAGATTATTAAAAGAGTAGGGACTGTTCATGTAGCACGTTAAAGCTGTGTTGCTTCCAATCATCTGCAAGCAAAACTTCAGTTTTTAACTTTGTTTCCCTACACATGATTGGGAATTCAAAGTAAACATAGCCTTACCTAAGTTAACCCCTTCATGACCAGTGACCAGTGAGAGAGCTGCCGCAGGGGTGTGTAATAACCCAAATGGGTTGCCATAGGAACCAGGACGCTTTTTAAAAATGTAACCCCTTCACGACCAGTGACGTACATAGTACGTACATAGTACGTCACGGGCAGCGGGCCCGTTTAAACAGGCTCTGTTTACATTTGTAGAGCCGGCGGCCGGGTTTACAATAGAAGCGATTCTGGCAACTCAGCTGTCACCAGATCGCTTCTTTGGGCCGGTAAACTGCCTGACCCCCTGCCCGCCACCCCCGCTGTGTTTCCCGGGCTCCGCTGCCCCTCCTGCGGGCCCGGGACTGGCATCTTGGGTCTCGGTGGGAAGCTGGGGAGGAGAGCGGCAAATGTTGGTTCACCGATCTCCTCCCCGTTCTATGGGACCAGGAGCAAGGTGTATTGCATCACTTCCGGTCCCAAACCTGTCATTGCTCGGCTACTGAAGCCGAGCAATAAGCTATTGAAGTGCGATCTGCACTTCAATAGCTTATTTATAGGGAAAAGGTGATACTAGGGGTCTTTTGGACCCCCTGTATCACCTTAAAGAGTACCTGTCACCGTCATTCTGCTATCACATGGGTGGGAGGAAGAATTTTTAAAGTCTTCCTCCGTCGCAAGCACACGCATCATACTGTAAACACGTGTCGGGTGCGCCTACGTACGAAAATTATGATTGTGCTGCACATTTTGGGTATCGCTGCACACACCAGAGTGAGGGCAATAGTTCTAGGACCAATATTTATGCATATCTCAAAACTGATGACCTGTAGGGGCTTTTAAAGCGTCGTCTATGGACTTTTTGGGGTACTAAAATTTGTCGCCGTTTCACAGATGCACACAGTTTTTAACCCGGGCATGTTGGGTATCTATTTACTCGTTGTAACCTCATCTATTTTGTTGTGTATTTTTGTTGTGCAGCAGCTCACCCCCCTCCGCTGTCCCTTGGCATCCTCACATCTAATGGACCTGCATTAGATGTGGTGACGTCATGGGTCCTTAGACTGCCAGAGCTCATGGGCAAGAGGCTACAGGGACTAGTGTAGCTGCCAGGTTATTTTCATCCCTAGACCAAAAGAAGCTCCTAACCCTTGCAGTGCAGGGGTAGCCCCATCATCATACAGGGTGGGGCGGTCAGAATTTTGTGACACACCTTGTACATGACATGCTCATGTACTTTTCAACAACCATCAATGGTATATTTGGAGGAAGAAAACAGATACGTTGTTGCAGAAAAGTACATCTTGCCCACTGTTAAGCATAAAGTGGTTGTAGATGTGGCAACAAACGGCACAGGGGATATTACTGTATGTGGGTAAAGGAAACTAACAGGGTTATTCATAAAAGGGTAAAGGGTTTGGAGAAGGCAGGAGCAGTGAATAATCTAGGCCAACATAGCTGATTTGGAAATATTTTCCAGTTCAGCTCACTTTCCAGTTCAGCTATGTTGGAATAGATTATTCACTTCTCCTGCCTTCTCCAAACTCTCCACCCTTTTATGAATAACCCTGTAAGTATTAGCAAATCATGCAAGTTAACGTTATTTTTTTTTCTTCCAATTTTAAACATGTAATGTTTAAATTTGTTCTTCACTTTTGGAAATAGTAGTGTGCAGCATTTTGACACTGAATAGGCAGCTCTCACAAAACAGAAGGCCTGCCAGAGTCAGTTTCGACTGCAACTAAAAGAGGAATTAAAAACACAAGCACCAAACCAGAATGTTGAAGTTCAAATGTATTTATTCAAATAAAGCATTTAAGCAAGATCTCTATGATTTCCAATGCATTTCAGGGGCCTACTCTATATGTTGTTATATGTTGCCAATGCTGTTATATGCTCTTCCTGTTTCATGTTTCATATTAATGGACGCTGGACTGATACAGGGGTAGTGGTCAAACGTATGCAATATAAGACACGGCATACAGATTGCAGCAAACAGGATTGTGTAGTGTACAATGTACATTACATACTTCTGACCATACTCTGTATGCTGTGCTGTGTGGTACATTAACTGTGTATATCCTATGGCTGCTGCCTTCTGTGCATTATGAACTCCAGAACCCTGCACTCTTTGTTATATTGTAGTTACATACTTTTAACCAAAGTGTTCATTGTCTCAACAGTTGTTGGTTGTTTAGTAGTGCCTGACTTTTTTAATGCGGTGCTTCTTTAAGGTAGGTTCAGGCAAAGTGTTAGCGCTATTTGTAAATTCTGTGTGCAGAAAAGCATATGTATTAGAAGAGTTTCAGTTTAAAAAAAAAATATTGCATTAAGGTTTATGTGTCTGTGGAACTCTCGCTTGTGGTACAGTAATAAAAGCATACTTTAAGCCTTTATCAATACCAGCGCAGTGAGGCCACACTACCATTCACTTAATTCTCCTCTTTGGGTTCCCAGGGGTTCAACAGGTCTTTCGCAATCGTAGCAATGCCACTGGTATATGTCTTACAGTGTTTGTTTCCTAATTTCTTAATGTTAACTTGAAATACTTATATCATTATTGTTTTTACAAATAAACTTAGAGCTCAGGTGCTCCAAAAAGCTGCTAGAGAAGAAACTTGAAATACATTAATTTTACTGTAGAAGCTTATTTGCTTCTAAAAACTGATTACCATGCCAGGAGGGATGTAAATGCTGAGAATTGATACTCCCTGGGGAATGTTATTGCACAGCAATTTAAAAAAAGTCCTCGGTGTAATGACATATTAAAATTATATTTGTGCTGGGTATTTGTATTTATCTCGATGTCGTACTTGAAGCACAGATACGGATGCCAAAACAGGAAGAGTATTACCTTTCACACATATACTTGAATTCTCTTAATGGAAGTAAAGATATAGAATACAAGTTATATAAGGAAAGGCACAACAAATGTAACTAAAAACTGATCATCCTCTAAAACTTTATCTGCCAATGATATGAGAGTTGTTTTCTGGATATTATATGAGCAACGTCATTATAACTGGCTTATGAGCTTTTTTCCTATGGATGACATTAGAAAGAGAGGCGTGGGGTCTCTCATGTAAAATGTATTTATTAAATTCACCTTTGAACTACTTTGGATAATATGTCATTCCACCGAGGACTCTTTTAAATGTGCAGTGCAATAAAATCCCCCAGGTAGTCTTAGCACATTATCTATTTGTTGTGACAATAGGAGAGCTGGAGTAAATTAGCTTGAATACCTTAACGTTTTTCAATGTTTTTTTAAAATATGTTCTAATAAAAGCATCTTGAGGTAGCACTTAAGTTAATTTGGCTGTATGAATTGATAAATACAATGATATGTTTTACATACAATATTGGCAGATGTGGTAAAGTAGCGAGTTTAGTTGGTCCAGAAATAAATGTGGTTGAATGGTATATTATTTAGGTATGAATGGTATATTATTAGGTAAACAACATATTAAATATAAAAATGTCCCTACATTTAGAAAATACCTAAAGATATTATGCACATTTTACAAATGTATTTACTTTTTTCCCCCAAGGAGTCTTAGGATCAAGATGAGTCAAGCGATTTGGTCATGATCCAAGATGAATGGGTGTGGAAATTGTGGTTGTAGGAGGAGCTGCTTAGCCCATCCAATAGGTGAAAGAAATGTTCGGTGATACTTTTTACTCAAACCATATAAAAAGGAGGCATATAAGATACAGAAGTATCCACAACTTAATCAAGCATGGCTCTCAACGCTGATGACAAGGCACACATCAAGGCCATCTGGCCAAGTCTAGCTGCTCATGCTGCAGACTATGGTGCAGAAGCTCTTTACAGGTATATTACCCTTATATGTATGTAAGAGGGGTGGGGTGGGTGAACTTTTGTGCATGTGTGAATTATATCAGCTATGTAGTGTGTGTGTGTGTACACAGTGTAAAACTCAGTGTATGCAGATAAGATGATTTTAGGGTGTGTGTGTGATGGACATAATAAGTTTACATTTCTAATAATTGCATTGTTGATGCCAATAACAATACAAGAAACACCAAACTGGCAGGTAATATGCCTTATTTGACCTCTTTCTTGTAATATTTTTTTATAGGATGTTCCTTTGTGAGCCTCAGACCAAGACTTACTTTCCAAATTTTGACTTCAGTCCAAATTCTGCCCAGTTGAAAAATCATGGCAAGAAAGTAATGAATGCTCTCACTGAAGTTGTGAAACATCTGGACCACCCTGAACAATCACTGAGCCATCTGTGTGACCTCCATGCCTACAGCTTGAGAGTGGATCCTGGCAACTTTAGCGTAAGTATTGGGAATTACATGCAGTTGTGTGATTGTAACACTTGTATAGTTCTAAACATACAAATCACTGAATTTCTGCACACTCATTTTTGTTTTTGTATCCAGATATTGAACAAAAACATCCTGGTTGTCATTGCTGCCCACCACTCAGACAAATTCGACAGTGCCACCCATCAAGCCTTGGACAAGTTCCTGAACTGTGTTTCTGCCATTCTGACATCTAAATACCGTTAAGGAATTCAGTCACCACTGATGGTAGAATGACACCGTGCACCCATATATGTACTTCAAGCTACAAAAAAAAACAGCTGAATGATAAAATATGAAATAAAATGGATTATGTTCCAGTTTTCATCTCTGGTTTTATTTTATTTTATTCTATAGACTATATACTTTAATATCACAGTTTAATTTTTAAATAACAAGCATTTGATAGGTTTAGGACTAATGTTCAATTTAAAGTCAACCTGCAGTGAAATAACATAAAGTATTCTGCTTATCACCTCCTTGACAAAATGCTAGTTGCCTGGCTGCTATGCCTCAGTACTTTGAGGCACTGACCTTGAAGATGTTATGCAGATCAGAAGATCTGTTATCACAATGGCTTTTTATCCGCATATTTAATCCATTCCAGGTCAGAAAGCCAGGGTGCTAGTATTCTTAGATGGAGGTCAGTATGGGCAACTCACATATATTTCTCCATACAGTAAACAATATTGGGTAAAACATATGTAATAGTCTAACACAAAAATTGTAAAATATATAAATAGAAAAATAACACAATGTAATTAAAACATGAAATTATCATGAAACACGAATAACATGAAACAACATCGGGGGTAATTATTCTAAATCCAGTGTAGGTTATACAACAAAACAACAGCGCTGAACAGCCTATTATGTTGATCAAGGTAAAATAAAGGTTCCCTTCCTACAACATGTAGTCAGGGTAAACATCACATGCAGTTCACTGGCTTTTAATGTCCTGAATAAATACACAGATAATGGGGTGAATTTACTAAAGGAGTTGATCATCCTCTCTCAACAAATTGTGGCTGTGTTCACTTTGACTACCCAATCATGTGTGTATAAAATAAATGAACAAAAATTTGCTGTTCACATGTCATTAAATATATTGGGGGAAATTCATAAGCACTTGAACAGACAGAATCTGGAGAAACTGCCCTTAGCAACCAATCAGCTTCTCTGTTACGTTTGTTCAGTTAAGCTTTGAAAATGAAACAGGGAAGGTGATTGGTTACCATGGGCAACTGCTCCAGTTTTTATCATTAGTGACCATGTTTACCTTGGGTTTAGTTGTGACAGCAGCTGGTTATGGTTGCAGGCCAGCAGGGGTGACCGGAGCTGATAATGTCCATCGTAGAAGTCACCAGCACTCGAGGATGTGTGCAAGAAGTAAAGCACTTTTTATTAAATCGTCACGTGTCATACAGCCAATGTTTCGGGGCCACACAGGGTCCCTTCTTCTGGGCGACATAGTGACGTCACTATGTCGCCCAGAAGAAGGGACCCTGTGTGGCCCCGAAACGTTGGCTGTTTGAGTCATGTGATGATTTAATAAAAAGTGCTTTACTTCGTGCACACATCATCGAGTGCTGGTGACTTCTATTATGGACTGTATCTGACACGGCGACATCCGTGTTGTCACTTCGAGCACCAACCTTTCATCCAAGGTCTGTACGCTGTATGGAGTGCAGGGGTTTTCGTATTATCAGGAGCTTATAATGATCGCAGTGGCAGGCAAGGAGTAGTGTCAGAAGCTGGTAATGGTAGCAGGCCAGCAGACGTGGCAGTAACCAGACATGTGCGATTCATTTCGTTCCAAAACGAAATTCGGACGAAATTTCGGAAATTCGGATGTATCCGAATTCCGAATGACAGCTAAAACGAATGCAAACGAATCCGAATTCCCGATCTCCGAAATTTCGTCCGAATTTCGTTAGCGGTAGTCCAGGCAAATTTTCGTTTTTGGACGAATTTGCGTTGCAGCAAAATGAATTTTTTTTTAGTTTTCAGAAGATAAAAAAAAACAAAACGTGAGGTTCCCCCCCAATTCATACCAGATCCTTTAGGTCTGGTAGGAATGTTAGGAGGGACCCCCTCAAGTTACAACACAAAAAAAAGTGCGTGGGGTTCCTCCCAAAATCCCTACCAGACCCTTTAGGCCTGGTAGGAATTTTAAGGGGGAGCCACAGCCCCCCAAAAATGGGGGAAAAAAAACGTCCCTAACAGTCCTACCAGACCCTTGATCCGAGCACTGGCCCGGCAGGGCAGAAAAGGGGGGGGAGGCAATTGAGAGCCCCCCCCCCTGTGCCTTACCAGGCCACGTGCCCACGGCATTGGGAGGGTGTCCCCATGACGATGGGGACAAGAGCCTCTTCCCCACAACCCTGACCCGGTGGTTGTGGGGGTCTGGGGGTCTGCCTGCGGGCAAGGGTCTTATTTGCACCGGGGTACCCCTTTAACTTCCTCCGCGCCCCCCCACCGTTGTCCTGCTGATCCCAGGCTCCGCTGTGCCCGGTGCGAATTCGGGATCAGCATGGCGCCTGTGTTACAGGGGATCAGAGGGAGATCGTTACACGAGCTCCCTCCGGTCCCCTCTCCTCTTGCAAGAATGCGGAAGTGTTGTATAATACATCACTTCAGCATTCTTGTGTCACTCTCCAGCTTCAGAAGCTGGAAAGAAGCTGATGGAGCAGATCTCTGCTTCATCAGCTTCTTTTGGGGGGTCCTAGGTGACATTAGGGGTCTTGGAGATCCCTGATGTCTCCATAAAGAGGACCTGTCACATATTTTGCTATCACATAGGGGGGTTTTATTAGCCCCCGTATGTGATAGCAATAAAGTTTAGTGGGGAAAAAAAATTAAAGGCCCCCCCCCCCAATTTTTTTTTAAAGTTACACAATTTTTTTTTTAAAGTCCCCACCCATACATACACGCATGCAAACATGCGTCGGGGGCACATACGTGCAAGAAAGACGATTGCGCCCATTACGCCGCACATGTTACATATCGTCGGAGTGAGAGCAATAGTTCTAGGGCCATCAATCACTGATAACAGTAAACTGATGAGCAGTAAAAGCTTTTAAAGTGTCGCCTATGGCCAATTTTGGGTATGGTAGTTTTCTGCGGTTTCGCGGGTGTACGCAATTTTAAAGCTTGACATGTTTGGTGTCTATTTACCCGACGTGACCCCGACTTTTATATTTTACCAAAAAACTGGGTAATAATAAATGTTTCCTAACATAATGTAAAAATTTTTTTTTTTTTTCAAAATTTTTAGTAATTTTTCCTAATTATAGTAAAAAATAAAAACCGCAATGGTGATTAAATACCACCAAAAGAAAGCTCTATCTGTCCCCCAAAAATGGTATAAAATTAATTTCAGTACAGCGTTGCATGATGGAATAAATGTAAAACACAAATGTATGGTCTGCACTGCACCATAGTAGCAAGTACCCTGCTGCTATCAATTCGGATCTGTGTGAGAATGGAATGAGGATAGGCTTTGGTTCTTTTCACCACATCAGTGCTCCTGATTAAGGATGTGAGCAGCATCATGTGACCACATTTCCCCCCCCCCCTTTTTTGGGGTTGGGGTTCCCCCTTAAAATTCCTACCAGACCTAAAGGGTCTGGTAGGATTTTGGGGGAACCCCACGCACTTTTTTAGTGTTTTAACTTGGGGCTACCGCTAAAAACGGAATTTAGTCCAAAAAAAAAACCGAAATTTCGACCGGTCTACCGCTAACGAATTTCGTCCGAATCCCGAAACAAATTTAATTTCGTACCCGAATCCAAAAAACAACATAATGCAAAATCCGAATCAAAACGAAACGAAACTAAACAGTTTTAGTGGTGGCATTCCTGCAGAGGTGGAAGGAGCTGGTAATGGTGGCACACCAGGAGAGGTGGCAGGAGCTAGTAATGGTGGCAGGCCAGCAGAGTTGGCAAAATCTGGTAATAGTGATAGTGTGATGCCAGGAGTAGTTGCAGGAGCTGGTAATGTTGGTAGAGCAGCAGAGGTGTCAGGAGCTGGTAATGGTGCCACTTGCACAGTCATTTCAACATGAAAGAGACTATTCACCACACCCAAGTCCTCAGTTTCATGGAATACAACATTATTCTCAATGATCTCATCCAACCTGTGTACAACACCTGGGGTTTGAGAGGAATTAAACATTCCCTGGAAGCCTGCCATTTCTTCCTCCTCCTTACCTTCAGCACCCCAACCTTTCTCCTCCTCCTCGTACTCCTCCTCTGTCCTTGCTAAACATGAATGTAGGTGGCAGTCAAAGGACCCTGCTGGGTTTAAAATATCAGGAGGTCCTCCACTTCCTCCTACTGCTGCGCCTCCTGTGCCAAGTCTATCACACCATGCAGTGTGTGCACCAGCAGAAACATCAGAAAGATTGTTTTGTTAATCCTTTCCTTGTCATGGCTCACCATTCTGGTCACCTCTTTATTTTTTTTTAATTTTTTTTCATATTAAATGTTTATTAAAGATTTTCAAAATATAACAAAAAACACACATACAATACAGTAAGCATACATTAAGACAATCACATTACATACGATGTCCAAGGTAAAAGGGGGGACAGGAGACTGGACATGGTTCGGGCAGAGTATGAATTAAGGTCAAGCTTTACCGAATTGAGTAAAGGGATATAGTTGTGAGTGTAGAGATTTAACGTCTTAGGAGTGAGGTAGATACCGAGGGAGCGCATACAGTCATGTCTCCAGAGAAAAGGAAAATGAGGACGTATGCTAAGGCAGTCTGCCCCTGGTCACCTCTTTAAATGGTAACAAGATGCTGCTCACATCCTTAATCAGGAGCCACTGATGTGGTGAAAAGAACCAAAGCGTATCCTCATTACATTCTCACACAGATACGAATTGATAGCAGCAGGGTACCTGCTACTATGGTGCAGTGCAGACCATACATTTGTGGAAGGAGGGAGACTCCTCCAGCTGGAATGGGAGCATTTGTACAGTCAGCAGTTTTGCCAAGTTGGCATTGAGACTCTGGGTATGGGGGTGATTAGGGAATATTTTTTTCCACACCAGCTGCTGTGGAAGAGACACCTGCCTGATCAAGGCTGGAGACAGCTGGGTGGGGTTAGAAACCTATGCTAAAGCTAAAGCCAATGCTTGGCCCTACTCTGTGTGGCCCTCTTCCCAGCTTGATGAGCCATAAGGTAAGCCTCTCAAACCCCTTGTGAGACTTCTTGCCGATCACTTGAAGCTGCAG